ACTGATTTAGGGTGTTCGACAGCGGAGCTCGTGTTTGGGACACCTCTCTTCTTACCAGGACAATATTTTCACCTTCCGCAGTACTCTTGCACAACCTCACCAAGTTCTTTCGTGCAAGATCTGCGCCACAAAATGGCCAAACTTACATACACTCCCCCACGACAACAAACCACAAGCTCCTACTTACCATAGAAATTGGATACCTGCGATTTTGTTTTTGTTAGGAACGACGCCGTAAAAAAAACTCTCACACCTAGCTACCAAGGCCCTTTTAAAGTTCTGAAGCGTTCTAAGAAATTTGTCACGATCATGCGCGGCAAGGGTTAGGGTTAGGGTTAGGGTTAGCTAAGCCTAACCCTAACCCTAATCTCAGCCTATATAAACACAGCCGATTTCTTCCACCAGATATCACTTGGCGGATTTTGGCCTCGGGGTAGAGCGACGAGCTCCCCCTCTCACCTTCGCTGACCACACGAAGCAGCCAAACCTAGCAGCAGCGGGCAGCAGTAGCAGTAGCAGCAGGCTACATGATATGCACTAATCCTTTTCAGGACAACATTCGGCTACATGATATGCACTAGTCCTTTTCAGGACTACACTCGGCTACATGATATGAACTAGTCCTTTTCAGAACTACACTCGGCTACATGATATGCACTAGTTCTTTTCAGGACTACACTCGGCTACATGATATGCACTAGTCCTTTTCAGGACTACACTCGGCTACATGATATGCACTAGTCCTTTTCAGGATTACACCCGGTTACATGATTTGCGATAGTCCTTTTCAGGACTAATCTAGCCATGTTATTACGAATGTCCTTTTATTAGAACTACCAGGCTGCGATCTTGCACGACTGTCATACCTAGGACGAACAGACAACACCAACGCCGTCCGCGTCGATCCTCTCTCTCTTCCTAAGCGCCGACGCGCTCTTTACAAAAGTGCAGATATCCGGGGATCGACTGAACCTCGAACATCGCTGTTTCATTCGGCCTACCTCCGAGCTGTCGCTTTGAAACCTGACAACGCTCCTTCAACTGACGCTCTCTAACTTCACGACCGAACTCCAGCAAACAATTATCTGTACATACTTTTGCCAGATTATTAAATAAAATTTGGCTTAAACTTTTACATCCTCGCCTTTTTTGTCCTTGCTTCGATCGTATTACCCTACATTATTTTTCTGCTTGCGGGGTTAACGGGCACCTGCTTAACGCCGCAACACACTTTTAATAAATTATCCCCTTTTGCCTCATCCTGTATAGAGATTCAAAAGTTATTATAGTGGACATTTCTTGAAATAGACGCACCGTTTCTATTTTTTATAACCGTTTATAGGCCTGCACATTCAAGAAAATGTGTCCTCCAGCTGGGATCGAACCTGCGTATCCCTCTTTAGGCTTGCTTTACTGCTCGGCTATGGTGGACTTCATAGTGAGTACGTTTCTATTTACCCTATTTCAGCAAAGCACATCCCCTTGACTCAGATTATTTTTCTTGAGAACCCAAAACGAAAACAATACAATTTCTAAAGAATAAATGGATTTATTTTAAAAAGGTAAAAATACGGACTAGCTGAAATTAATAAAAAGTAGCAAGATTAATAAAATATATAAAATGATATATTATTTCAAACGTTATTGTAGTGGACACTTCTTATTTGAAATAGACGCGCCATTTTTATTTACTAATGTGTGTGTATAACGTTTATAGGTCAGCGCATTCGAGAAACCTTAGTAAAGAAAATGTGTCCTCCGGCAGGGATCGAATAGTTACGTCCTCCTTTGTAGGTAAAACTGCGGAAGCAATGTTTTTTTTTACCATATTTAAAGAAAGCATATCCTCTTCAGTCTGAGTATTTTCTCGAGAGCCCATATTTACTCAGTTTCGTATTCGAAACGTAAACAAACTAATTTCTAAAGAATTTAGAGAATAAATTATTGTTAATCCGACATTTTTATTACTACGTTTTACACACACACACACACACACACACACACACACACACACACACACACACACACACATATATATATATATATATATATATATATATATATATATATATATATATATATGAGTGTAACAGAAAAATTATCCAAATCGTGCAAAAGCAAAATTTTTCACTTGTTAGATTAAGCTTTGAACCGTTGTATTTTAGAAATGATTAAATATATCTTACTGGAATTCGCCGAGGTTTTTATAACACCATTGGTATAATTTGTGCAATAAGAATGTATAATTACTCTCCAAGCTTAAACGAAAATGACATGTTCATCATTAATTAATCATAGCTAATGATCGGAAGCTCATGAAGTTTTGAAATTAATATCATATATATATATATATATATATATATATATATATATATATATATATATATAATTCCAGGATCATTTTCCAATTTATTCAAGATGATCTTCGCTCTCTCTAACGTTTTAACTTTCTGTCTTGGAGTAACAAGGTGCCTCACAGGTTTCTTGTACGATTTCATTTTCAAGTCATTTTTCACTGTTCCTTGGACTGCCATAGCTGAAACTACTCTCTCACGTGTCAAACGTTTTATTGATTGAGTTAGATCTTTTCTAATTGATCTCTAGCTCTCAGTTGAAATGATGATTCCTCTTCTTGTTGTGACCTCTTGATTCAGCTTTCCTCTGTACTATTCCCTCGTTTTTAAACTTATTCATCGTTCTCTTGATGGTTCTTAAATGAAGATTGAAGTAGGAAGCCAGAGTATGAATATTGGTACCATTATTGAAGGCCTGAATTATCATTTTCCTCCACCATTGCTCATTTGGGAAGATAGTGGGACAGACACAAAATGATTTTAACCTGTTCTCTTTCTACCTGAATAACTCAAAGGCTTTTTTTTCAATGATTCTTACGACAAATGGTGTAAAGATGGCTAAACGTCTTTTTTGAAACCCTGGGAAAAAGAAAGTCAAATAGTTTAGTGTATTTTAAATATTAAATATTTTGTGGGATGCGCAATTATGCTCTTACACGATTTGGACAATTTTACAAATATTTTTTACTATATATATATATATATATATATATATATATATATATATATATATATATATATTATCGTCCGGTTAGCACATATATTAAAAATATCAACAAATTAAAATTTTAAAAATAAATGAAATATTCAATTACAACATTCAGTATTTTCGTTTGGAATATACTGCTCGTAATATGTGTAATGTATATACACTGAAATACATATGTTTTCTACTAAAATTTTAATTGTACCTTTTTTTCCATATGACTTTTTGTAAATGTTATTTATTCGTATCCCCGCTTTTTAAACAGGAGTATGATTTATCCATTGTTTCCTGTTTAGTATTTGGTTTCCGGTTCCTTCTAAGGTCTACAAAAAATTTTTGGAGAAAAATCAAGCATTTCCATATTACTCAGTGATTTTTCCAATGTGACCTCCATCTTCTGGCTTTCTCCTTCTATGTGTATGTGTACACGGATTTCTGTAAATTCAAAACATTTGTGCCATTGATTTCATTGCGTTTTTATCATTCTATATCTATTTCAAATTCACGAGCTTTGATTTTAGACTAGAAAGGATTAAAACAAAAATAAACATTGTATGTCTAAATTATTTAAGAAAACCTGTCTGAATGAATGATTTTGTCTAGAATTTTGAGATATATAGCAGGAGCATCAGACCAGATATGGCAGCAATATTCAATGCACGGACGAATGGTAGATTTGTAAATGTCTAAGATGGTTTCTGACGAGAAAAAAATATCAACGACGACACAGTGAACCAACTTTCCCAGCAGCTGACCTAACAATTGATTAAATTTACAAGCTTATTTCGGACTAAAAGGACTTTGTTTTCCTGAAGAGTTTTAAAATCAATAGTATTGTTAATAAGGAAATTAACCAATTATTGTGTAAAGTTTTAGTATAGTTATTTTTGCTTAATAGACCCTGCTGGCTAATGACAATCTTAGCGCCGGTATACACCTTTTTAAAAAAGGGGCTTTATGCATTAATGGATTAAATAAGTTCAGCGTTCTGGCTCAGTTGTAGTTTATTAAGCCAAAGAAGGTATGAAACGTACTAATTATTAAATCCATAGGACGTCTCCAAAAATTCTGGCCTATGGTATATATATATATATGTGTGTGTGTGTGTGTGTGTGTGTGTGTGTGTGTGTGTGTGTGTGTGTCCACTTTTATATTTATATTTATATGTCCACTTATTATCATATCAAAAGCATTCCTACAATCTAAAAATATTTTCTGGCTTTAAATAACCTGAAAGAATTGATAATCCGTGTAAAACGAATCAATATATATATATATATATATATATATATATATATATATATATATATATATATACATGGACATCTCAGTTTCACTTATTTCCTTTAGTAACTCAAATCTCTGCTGTAGCCAGATATTGAAGTCAATATATCCAAGGTCAAGTCACTGGATTACTTCAACAAACGCTTTTATCCACTGTACTTGACTGAAGGAATTTTGGGGTCTCATAAACCTAATGTCTCAGTAACTTTTTTACCAGAGCTCATATTACAATGGTTGTTATTGTTGTTTTTCTCTGTATTACTGGTTTCCATAATGTATTCAAAACCATGCTTGGCTGGTTTAGGATTGTTAAAAAAATAACTGAAACTGAGATATCCAGAAAAGGCATGGCACATGGAATTAGAACAATCTACTAGGTGGACTAAATAAAGTGTTTGATTCGTAATTTCAGCATATATCACCTGAAGAAGGCCTGAGCCTACAGCGGCCGAAACGTCGTGAATATGGTAATAACGATGAGGAAAACAACCCGAACAATTTAAATAGTGTAAATAGTTACAGTACCTCATCTCAGAAATATAGGCAGATCCTGAAAAAGGCCGGAGAGTACAACAACCGAAATGTGGTGAATATGGCAATAAAGATGAGGACAACAGCCCGAACAATGTAAATATAGACAGATTATTTTATTTTATTTAGCATGTCGAGAACCTTCTTGCGCTGATGTTCATTCGTGTAACTCCAAGATGGCGTAGAGGATTGTCGTTGATGACTGGTGGAAGCTGATCACAAATTTCGGATAATTCCTCCAGTTCCTCCATTTCCAGCTGCACGTCGGTCAGCATGTCTTCGTGGTACTCACAGCTCATGTTTAATTTGATTCTCTGTATTTCTTGGCGAATCGATAACAGCTGGCGCGCCAAATCTTGGTCCTGATGACGCATGTCTGTCTGAAATAAATAAATAAACGCCTCAAGCCATTAAAATCACGCCCTCTTCTGAGAAAGAAAGAAAGAAAGAAAGAAAGAAAGAAAGAAAGAAAATTTTAAAAAATTCCTGGGTGTGCTGAAAGGTTTTCCTCTTGATGAAATTGTCGTTTATTCAAAACCTAGGAAACAAATTTGGGTATCATTTCAGGACCATTTATTTCAGGCAGACAAGCATAATCAGGACCATTGCTTCATGAGGAGGCACGGTGGAGTAATGGATAGCGGCTCGGATTGAGTAATCAGAGTCGGATCCATTACATTCACTTGGAAAAGGTATGAATCCTCTTCCCCCCAATAATATAAATAGCAAGACTATTGCCTTGGGTGGTAACCGGTCTTGGAGAAGGTAAGTCTGAATTTAAAACTTACCTAAGAAGCACCACTTCTACTGTCGCTGCAGTATATGTGGTGCCCCTACAACCCAGATGTGTCACGGGATTCGCGCGCGTGTAATGATAAGGGGCACTTAGAGACCCAACTCCATTTTCTTTCCTTTGATGCGTTATATGGTCTTCCTGTTGCTTGTGTGCCTGCACAAAGATCTATTTGAACTGCTAAGAAAACTTCATTTATTTAGGAAGGATATTATATAATCGGAGACAGGGTGGGTCAAAAGTAATGGACAGCGTCTTGGATTTATGATTCAGAGAGCTGTGTTCGCATTTCAATCGAGTTCATTACATTCACTTAACCCCCGCAAGCTATAGGTAGAATATCAGGACGGACTCGATCTTGGATGGCAACCAGTCTAGGAGAAGGACAACTCTACATTCAAAGTAGCTTGGAGTGGGTTGTGCCCCGCTAGACTATCTTGCCAAAGATCCGCCACAGCTGCTACGGCGGTAGTACATGCGGTGCTCTTACGACCCTCAGGGGTTACGGGACATGTGATCGCAATTGGGATTAGAATAATCCAGAACTTATACTGGGAGTAAAACCGCTCGCATGTGGTTAGAAAATGAATTGAATGAATATAAAAAACATAGAAAAGAGCATAAGACAAGGATGTGCCTTCTCATCGGATTTATTAAACTATTACAGCGAAATAATCCTATAAGAATTAGAAGTTCTCCCAGGATTTATTATTGATGGGCACAATCTTTACAATTTAAGAAATGTAAAGACAGTTGTAAAACATCTCGACATGGGATTAAAGGAAAAGGAGAAGAAAGGAATAACCATCAAGAAGATATGGATTCATACGTTTCCCAATGGTATTTGCACGTAAGTGAATGTAAGGAATTGACTGGAAATAAGAACGAGATATGTTGCAATGTTATCTTTGTTTAAAATAGCTGAGAATTAGGAAGGCCGTAGTTAGAGAGAGTATTGAAGGAACAGAAGGCTAGTTAGGGGAACACAAGGACGTTTATTAAATAATCATACAAAGAAAGGAAAACCTTGAGTAAGTCAAACCCTATCCCAAACTACTCTAATGTGACTACTTGCCATATTTATAAGTAGGAGCAGTCCATTATCACAGTAGTAGGGACGAGCAAGAAGTACACTCAATCCTACCCTAGAACAAGATGATATCACTAGGCACGAGCAGTGGAAGAAAACAGTCTACGTTTGTATATTAAATAAAGGGCTCAATTCAGAATTCCCTGTAGATTACCCAAATAGATATAAACATGAAGTCCAGAGAGCACAATGGATGAGCCGTTGTAATAAAAAAACAAAGATCGGGACAATAGTCCTAATATAAATTGTGTAGAAAAAAGACAAATAGCTAAACAACAAAAAATAGAAACGGAATTTGTCTTACTGTAATCTGTTAAAAAACTTACCAATTCTTTTGTGATCCACTGAAGGGCGTTTGTAATGCAATTCTTTCTCTCTTCCGTCAAAATGTCATTGTTAAGACTCTCTTGTGAAGTTAGATTCTTGGATCTTTCTTGGATCTGGGCCTGCCAGGCCACATAACTCGGACGCCGGGTAACCAATTTCAGACGAGCTGTCGTAGCCTTCAGTTGGGCCATACCCGAACAAACACCACTATCAGTATTCTCTGAAACATGTTCGACACTAAATACTTCGGAAATAACACCCAGTGAAATCTTACGCGGATTTCTGATCCGGGGTGATCTCAAGGAAGAGAGGAATTCCGTATTTGTTGAAGGGACATTCTGGTTGTCCTCACAGAGGTCAGCGATGTTGTATGCGGTACTCGAATTGAGGAGGACATTTGTTGTAGCAGTTCGGTCGGTATTTAAATTGTGATCATCGTTTTCATGGTAGTCTTTCACTTCGTTATCCGCACATGCTTCTCTCAGATCTGACTGGTCAGCAACAGACCATCGAGACCAGTTGGTGATCATTGGATCTGCCGCGAGGATTTGAAACATGGGACCGATTTTGTGCAGTTACTTCAATGAATCAGGCGTGACCTGTTTTTTTTTTTAATGAGGAAATAAAGAGAACGCATTAAAATAAATAAATAGAGTAAATATTAAAATGAATAAATAGTGAAGATCTTGTTAGATTCTGAATTTTTGAGTTGAGGAGTTATCATTGTTTACACTATTTACACGCAGAATGTTATCCACATCTTTGACGTTGTTATCATAACAGTTCGGCAGTTGTCCCCACGGCTTTTATCAGGTGTATGTCAATCCGGGGGACATACAGGGACTATCGAACTTGTGGAGTGGTTAGCCATAGTCAAATGCAAAATAAGTAACAGACCGGTCCAACAAACAGAGTTGACAAAGTTTGCAATAAGCAATGACAAGAAAAACAGAACAGGGCAAAAATAATATAAAACAAGCAAACAATGTATGCAAGACAGAACGGGATTAACTTAGATGAAACCGAGAGCCGCCCATTTTATTGACTAGGAAAAAATCCCACCATTCATTTGTGTGCTTCTGCCTATAAAAGAGGATGAGAGAGTATTTTGCACCCATTTCCAAACAAGATTGAAATCAACAGAACTGAACCATTTATTTAATCCACAGGGGCAGACTGTCCCCGTTCCACTACTCATGCCTAGGGATATCTCGTCTAGTACTTATTTTAAGTACTGAACAGTTATTGCTCGCCCTGTTTCCACTGAGTCCAAGTACGCAATGCCCGGCCCAGGGATCGAACTTACAATTACTATGTCAGCAAATTTAGGAAACAACGCTTTAATCCAGTTCTCTTTGGAGAATGTGAAGCCTTAAACCTAACCTGTATGTTGCTGAGTGCCGCTGCGCGTGACATACTTGGCTGCGCTCGCCGAAGCTTTTCTCTTCTGTTACAGCTTCTGCTGCTGTTGTTGATAACTTGCTGTCATTTGACTACCTCTAGTAGGTAAACTAAACAAAGTTGAACATATAACAAAATTTACATGCGAAATGGAAGAACCCATTTCCTTACCTTCCCTAGATATCAAGCTACACCATGTTAACAACAGTTTAAAATTCGGTGTTCACCGGAAATCAACCTATGTAATAAATTTCTATTCTCATCATCACACCAAAGTAAAATCCGGTATAACCATCGGGTTCTACTCAGAATTTGCAGCCATTAATATTTACACGAAGAAGAGAAATACATTGAAAAAGCTTTCAAGTACCCTAATTATTTTATATTCAATGCAAACAAAAGGCTCATAAAATATTCCCAAATAGATTAACGGCCCCTTCTGACATACCCAACGAATTCCAAATACAATTGAAACAATCTATCTAAGCGCAATATAAAATTTGTTACTATTACATCCAAAACAATAAAAAAAACTTAGTCAACACTAGACAAAACAATAAGCTAAAACTTGAAAGAGGAATTTACTGAATTACCTGTAATAATTGTCACAAAAATGCGTAGGAGAAACGTCAAGGAATCTAAATAAAATATTATATGAACACAAATTTTACAGAACAGTATATAAAATGCGTTGGTTACCCAACGTAACGCGACTGACCACAGGGATCATTAAAAGATAAGAATGCCAATAACGCCTTCACCATTTCTCGGACCAATCTTAATTGTTTTATAACCCTTCACGCAGAACTTTTTCACTGCCAATTCAGGAAGACATTTGGGTCACTAACACACAAAAAAGAGAAAGTTTTATATCGAGAATATTTAACATCGAAAAACATAAGAAAAAATTAATTATTTTTAATAATATGTGGAAATCTCCACGCTTTGCCTGATGAAGGTCGCGAGACCGGAAACGCGTGTAGCAAAATTATGGAAAATAAAACAGAATATATTTTTTAAAAAAATCCACATTACAACCAAAAACGTTTGCGCTTTCTCTCTTCTTTTTAATATATATATATATATATATATGAAAGGATGATGAAAATTTCTCGATAAGTTTGGTCATTTATTAAAATTTTGGGGAGTATGACGTACCGTAAATATTTTAGCAACTCTTCTAATCTCTCTCTCTCTCTCCCCTCACACATATGTGTAAATGCCCGCCTTCTGTTGTTAAAAACAAGTGTTTGTTTTGTCGAGTGTTTAATGAACAGAATCAACAGGAAATGTCTACTTATCAGCATTAGCATTTTATTAGAAGTACTTTTACCAGTTTTTGTCTTAGCGATATTCCGTCACTTGCGACATTGTGGTTCGCTTTTTTAGGAGTGGACGAGAAATTTTACCTATTACCCATCTTGTCTATAGGAAATATTTCAAAGCATTTATTCGAATGCACATTTGTTTGACCGACTGAATGTTTTAGTTATATTTTTTTAAATTGACTTACAGAGTTCTATTGATTCGATTTGACTTTAAAAGAAATTCAACAGGAATTGCAATTTTTGTCATAAAACTATTCTTGTTTGTTACTCTTCGAGAAGATGACTCATTAATATTGCGAACTCGAGCGAACGTCATATATCAGGGTCGGTCAAAAAGCCATGCATGTATGTTTAACTACAAGTAGTCAAATACCCGTTCTACGAACAGAGAAATGTAAGATATTATACAAGTTCGTTTACGAATCTAAGATCTTTGCATAAGCATTCTCAGTAAAACAACTATTTTATAATTTTTGTCATCATGCAAAGTTTGTAGCGAGTCCCGATAAAAAATAAAATCTGGTAATAGAATATATATATATATATATATATATATATATATATATATATATATATATATATAAAAAAATTAAAATAAGACATTGATTTTCTTTAAAACCCTTATCTCTTTCTCTCTCTCTCTCTCCTTCTCTCTATATACTTATCTCTACTATCAATAAGGCATCCCTCAAATAAAAAAAAAGAAGAACCCGGCTATAAAACGCCGGAAGTTTGCGAGAAAAGTGTCTATTTATTTATGTTTATAATTCTACCAAAATAAGACAGGCTCCAGGCATAACTTCCGCTATATTATAAAAAAAGAAAAAATGAAAATGGAAAGGAACACTGATAATAAAATATGTTTGGCTAATAAAAAAGTTGACACAATGAAACATTTGATGATAACGGAAACCTAGGTTCGCGCCAGTAGCCTGAGAACCTTGAGAAAAAGGATATAAACTGGCAGACCTAAGGTAGAAGAAAAGAAGAGGCCACCAGAGAAACCAGCCATGCGTGTCACGTGAAGAAGTTAAAAGGCCTTCTGCATCTTAGGGCAGAGAAAACAAGCAAATTGACGCCGCATCTATTTTTCTAAGATGAGAACTAATACCAATGTCTGAGTTCTACACTGTCACCTGCCGACACGAAACGAACTTTTTCACGACTGCTATAAGACTGCTACTTATAAACGAACTATTGTTATCTCGAATATCAAATGACTCAATCCATTTTCAATCAAATAAAGAAATATCTGTGCGTGTTTTTGCTAGTATGATTATATATATATATATATTCCTTTTCTATAAATATATATTGTTTTATTACAAGGAAATAATATATATATATACATACACACTTTTTATGGCATGTAGAATTAGTGTGTGTGGTCCGTCTAGTGTGTTTGTTTTTGCCAATATGTGTGTATATATTCGTTCTCCATACATAAATACTATTTATTATATTACTATCAAGACAACTATGCAATAACTACATATCTCTTATATGGAGCGTGTGTGTGTGTGTGTGTGTGTGTGTGTGTGTGTGTGTGGTTTGACTGGTGTGTGAAAAGAAACTCTGTTGTTAAGTGTTTGGAGAAGGAAATGTAGAAAGTTTTAAAAAGATAAGGAAGATGTTAAAAGATAAGTTCAGGGACCTCATTCCTTCTCCTTTTTCTGACCAATCCTAATTGTTTTATTACTTATTAAGCAAAGGAATATTTTCCGCCAGTCCAAGAAGAATTTGGATTACTATCACACACAAAATACAATGTTTATACACAAGAAAAATTATTAATTTAAATAATATGTGGAAATAACCATTTTTCGCCTGATGAACGTCATAAAACCCGAAACGCGTGTAACGAAAAAATATAAAAAATCCACTTTATAAACAAAAATGATTGCGGCTTCTATTTTAAAGAAAATATACACTTCTCTCTCGTTGGAGCAACAATAATCTCGCCATATATATATATATATATATATATATATATATATATATATATATATATATATTATATTACTAATAATAAATTATATAATTAAGTATTTGGGCAGCAATCGTTCTTTTATACAAGTTTTATTAAAAGCGACGGAGAAGGCAAGTTGATTAAGCTTTTTATTAAATTAGTGAGGGAGGGAGGGAGTGAGAGAGAGAGAGATTGGTGGATAGGAAGAAAGCATATGCTTACATTTTTATAATCATATAATTCTTTTTAATAACACATAAGTACTTAAATATAAAATAAACATTTTTTCTTGTTATAATATTGTAATTATCCATACATTCAAACGTATATACATGTATATACTGGAATATGTACGCTTATATCTGTCTGAAAAAGCTGCACACATAAAGACGAAAGCGGTCAGTTTATGTTCGAGTACTTAGAAAGAAAGTTTTTTAATCAAATTTGTATAAACAAAAAATTGCTGGCAAACACAAACACACACACACATATAACACAAGTGAAAAATATGTGAAAATTAGGAGAATTTAACGTGTTTTTTCTGGCTACCAGAACTTAGGCTTATATCTGCATGCACACACACTCGCATACAGACACACATGCATTGGGCTGAAATATAGATTAGAATCCGAGAGAATATGATATATATATATATATATATATATATATATATATATATATATATATATATATATATATACATGCAACAAAACAAAAGACTATCCATGCATATGTTAATTTAAATTAACTCTATCACGGATACTGACCACTTTCCATTGAATACCTCATATATATATATATATATATATATATATATATATATATATATATATATATATATATATATATATATATATAT